TTTGAAATGGATAGTAGATTACTAAATTTTACGATTTTTCTCTACTCTAACTTCAAACATCACATAATTCATGAATTTATTATATTCCAAGAGAAATTTCGATGTCATATACTCAAATTCCCTGAACCCTATCAGGGAATGTGAATATTCCCTAGGGAATGTACACATTCCCTACAAATGTCAGGGAATGTATAGATTCCCCAGGGAATATGTACATTCCCGGATTTCGTACATTTCCTGTAACATATACAGCAAATATGTGAGTGATCTGTATTTTTGTCATTACTTCATTTCAAAACGAGACATAACAGTGTTCCTTTTACAGAGGTTCGTATTTTGTTAATACGAAAAATGCTTCACGCAGAGACCATTTTTACTTACGCTTCTTACATAGTCAGTGGACTGACTAACACAACATATGGCGATTACTAGATTTGAGGTATTGCTCAGTGAGCTGAGATTTTCAGTAATTATATATTTTAACGAGACTTTTATTTTTCTTCTTTTTTCTCTTAAAAAGATCCATTTTGAGACGCTTTCTTGAAAGACGACGCCTAGGGTCTCTTTGGACGCCGTTATAGCAACCAATAAGACAACATTCGGCTCCTACGTCTCGCCTTTCCTTCTGTACTGAGCCGGCTATTATTCGTGCACGTTTCCATAGTTATACAGTATAAACCAATTTGCGTGAAAATACTTTGAACCGCGACGTCCTGTTTTTTTATTACAATAAACTTCTCCTATTATAAAATACTTATTTTAAGACCTGCAGCTCTTCAAACCCATTTTGAGAAAACACCCAATGACTATTGACTAACTAAGAAATTTCACTCAGTCCAGTAATCAGAGAATACATCCTATTCCGCGATGTTGATCATTGCGGAATCAGTTCCAAGGAATTCCGGAATTACTTGAAGTTATTGATATTCTATAATGATCAATAGGATACAACTTATTCTATCCAGGAATTCCGTCATAGAATAAGTTGTATAGTATTGATCATTACAGTATGTCAATAGATACTTGAAGCAATTCCAGAATTCCTAGTGATTCCGCATTGAAGGAATTCCGGGATAGAATAAGTTGTATACTATTGATCATTACAGAATATCAATAGATACTTCAAGTAATTCCAGAATTCCTAGGAACTGATTCCGGGGTGGAACTAATTCCGCAATGATCAACATCGCGAAATAGGATGACTGCTCAGTAATCAACAGTTTATAACCGCTTTTTTGGCTTTCTCAAAATAGAATTACTGCAGCCAAATAAGTAATTTACTGTGTCAGTGTACGGTGATTCTAATGAGAGAGCCAAGAGACACAAATCCTTTCAACTTTTATTATCGCAAATTTGAAACCTTTCTTTTAACCATTTCAGGTATCAAACGGTGTCTCAAAGTGTGTTAGAATCTGAGTACTTTTTTTATATTGTCTGTGGAAGGTTCTCAAAATAAAAGCTTCTAGCTGAACTTGAGATGAATAATTTATCTTGATTGCATCCTGTTCCCGAAGAGAAAGCTGGGTAAAACATGATGAAATCAACGTTGTACATTCTCAAGAAGAGCTCTTCGAAGAAGAAGATTTCTTGAACCTAAAACTTTTGCGTTTTGATGCCTTGGAGCTAATATTTCGTACAAAAACCAGATTTTTCGAGCCACGACATAAAATTATTTCATAAAATCAAGATTTTAACTATAAAAAATAGTTTTCACCAGAATATTATCTGGTGAATATAGCCAGACTGACTAAGAGGAGTTTCAAGCACTAAACCTTTCAATTTAAAATTTACTATAACGATTTCGTTCAACAAAGCCTCAAACATATACTATATAACTTTTTTTCTACAAAAGTCTGACCATCTTACAGACAAAGCAGAAACAACAAAGACCTCTTTTTTCAGTTAGTTATAAATATTCCTTTTTGCTGATCTCCTCATCTGTCAAAACTGCAGTTTGAACATTTCTTCTGATTGAAAATTCAAGTTTTCAGTAATTAAATAAGTGCTACATAAATAAAATCGTGAGAACATAAAAATTTTCCTATCTCAGAAATCGAATTTTGAACATGAAAACGCTCAAAAACTCAAATAAAACACAACTTAATATTTTTCAGCTTTGCGTAGAGATTCAATCTTGTATAAGATAATTAGAGAAATCCTGCAGATTTCTACAAGAACTTTTTAAGATTTCTATATAAGGAGATGATGAGATTCGTATAAGAACTTATCAGAATCTTATAAACTTCCTATAGTACACCGTAAGATCGGTTGGCCTACGACGGAAAACCATGAAGGAGGAAAATAACATGTCCTGTTCACACCAGTAGTTCTCGATGTTCTATGTGTGCGGTTCGGTTATCAGAAAAAGTGTTCGAAACTTTGACGAACGGTTCACAGTTGCGTAAAGTCCTAACATGTTCTTTGGTAAATCGCCTCGACTTGCTCTTTAAAATAAAGTACACACAACCCCTAACGTCCTCGGCTATGAAGAAAAACAAGCCAAAAGTACGGCAGATAAAGCTGAGCACAAAAGTCTACGAGAAACCATCTTTCATACGACTTTCTCAAAAGAAAGTTTAGACCTTTCTTACTTATTGCACAATGTTTTACCCGGTTTTTCTTCGGGAACATGATGCAAAAAAAGTGAATTGTTTAACTCATAATGAGTACCTCAGGGCGAAGAATCCTGCAATATGATCTTGTAAGATCATGTTACAAGATACCATAAGATTTCACAAGATCTTACAAGATCATATGAAAATCTTACAAGATCTTACAAGATTTTACAAGACTCTTGGTTCAAGAATCTTATAAGATTCCACAAGATTTTTCTTGCAGCAAGATCTTGAAAGATTTCATAAGATCATATAAGAATTCATCAGATCTTACAAGATTTTGTCTCTGGTTCTGTCCTATAGATCCTCTCTAGGCCAGGGTTTCCGATTGTTCTCAGGGGTGGGAGGGGCTAAAAAATTTTCTTCGCGGAAAGTAGCTGGCGAAAAAAAATTTTTTGGCAGAAAGTTGCTTGTGGAAAAACGTCAAAGATTTTGCCGGAAAGTCCAAAAATCTTTTTAGGGAGGGGCTAGTCTCCCCTGCCCCCCTGATCGGGAAGCCTGCTGTAGGCCCTCTTTAAAAAAATCTTTTTATTTTTATAATATTTCGAGCATAGGAAGGACTCTCACGTCCTTAGGAACGTGTCTAACCACGTTTCTTATAGCCATGTACTTTATTTGCGCTCAGCTGATGTATAGAATTTACAAGAATAAGCCCTAAATGTTCATTGGCAGCTCAGAGATATAGAAAAAGTAAAAAGGAATTTAGGACTTTTCTTGTAAATTCTATAACTTTGCAAAGAAAGGTCGTGCAGAGCTGGTAGATGTCTCATTTTGATCAGAATTTCGCGAGCTACAAGCATGACTTATTAAGACATGTTTTGGAGATCTTTTGGAGTTTCTGATAAACTGGTTTTCCCTCTGAACTTAAAAAGTCTAAGTTTCTCTTTTCATACCCATATACAGTAACTACTTGACTACATGATGACGCAAAGATATCCAAAAAATGTTTACCCTCCCGTGCAGAAAAGATATTTCAAAAATAGCCTCAAGATCCAAAATATTAAAAGATGGGTCAAATTCTCTCACTTAACTTCTACACTATATTTATCTTACTCAGTTTTGGACGCTCTTTCGAATGGTTTAATCAGAATTTTTTTCTCAGTCACTCATACCTGAGATGGAGAGCCACACTGAAGAGTATGGCACTTTTGGCTTAAAGTCGCGTTTTCACCCTAAGGAAAAAGCTTTTGAAAATTATTTTTTTGCTAAAATGTAGCCCGTGTCTTGCCCTTCAAAATGAGATATTACTCGATTTTTTGTCACATTTGCATTTGCGGGGACACGAGTTTTAAAGTCGTACGAATACTTTCTGGCATAGGAAGGCAAACTGTCCAACTTGTTTCTCATACAGCTCCGTCATTAAAAGTCGAAACGTGATGAAAGTTTCAGATTAGATAGAGTAACTCTCGAGCTTTCTTGTGATATATTTGGAAGTACAAAAATCTTTTAAATGACTGAGCTAAAGTAAGAAAAACTGGTCGTACGAATACTTTCTGGCACAACTGTATATACTATATATCGCACCAAAATTTATGTGGTAAGAATGAATCATCACTTCTTGTAAGATCTTATAAGATCTTGTAACAAGAAATCGTATGATCTTGTGATAAGAATTGACAAGATCTTGCAAGATCATATAACTTCTTGTTACAAGATCTTATAAGGTCTTAACATTTCTTATTAACTGATCTTGCAAGATCTTACGACAAGAAGTTATAAGATTCCGCAAGATCATACATGATCTTGGGATAAGATCTTACAAGGTCTTACCGAAAGATCTAGTAACAAGATTGCATAAGAAATCATCAGATCTTATAAGATCTTGTAAGACGTCTTTCACCTGGGACGTACCGGGAATAAAAGAATGCATCAGAACAAATAATTGAGAAGTTCATTAGAGCGATTTGGCGCCAAACTCCCGTTTGTAATTCGCGCTCAAGTCTATTTCTGTCGCATTTGGCGGGAGAATTATAATTAGGGCTTCTTTTCAACAATTATGCAAGAAATTCCACTTTTTTGCATTATTTTTGAGTAAAGGAAGCGCTCTACGTAGAATTTTAGGCATGGCAGCCATCTTGGATTTCTATTGGTTAGCGTACGAAACGAATAAAATAAATGTACGTAGACACGAGCGCTCTATAAATAAATTAAAAGGATCGGAGCTGAGCATTTCAGTATAGTAAGAGAAAAATATTCTGCATCGAACTGTCGATTCAGATTTTCCACACCGGCTCGTGGGCTGGGGTCCTGTATCCAATATGATTATTATTGTCATTTCCAGACTCAGCATCACCACTGGTTTTATCAACAGATGCATCCGACATTGGTTATGGTGGCGTTTTAAAACAAATTACCAAAGACGGTCCAAAGCCAATCAGCTATTTATCACGTAAATTAAATCCGGCGGAGAAAAAATATGGTACCACCGAAAAAGAATGCCTAGCCATGGTGCGTTGTATTGAAGAATTTAGATCATATCTATTAGGACGAGAATTTACGGTGGAAACTGACCATTGTCCGTTGTGTAATTTTCATAAAAAACCGTCCAAAAATGGTCGGGTGGATAGATGGTCAATTGGTTTAGGTGAATATGATATCGTTGAAATAAAATATAAAAAAGGTAAATGTAACTGTGATGCGGATTTAGTGTCAAGATATCCAGCAACAACATCCAATGACCAGATAACATCAAGAAACGTTAGAGGTAGAATGAATGGCGCACTAACTGACGATGAAGAAGAAGCAAATCCACAAGTTAATGTAATTACTAGACCAGCAGCTAAAGCAATTACGAATAATAACAATAACAAGACAATAGCATTAGCTGGTAATCACACTAAATCCCCAAAGTCAGCTCAAACAATGACACCACATTTATCCACAACTGCAATGCAACTACGTCC